TAATGCAATCATTAGCCAAATATACTATCAATAAAATCCTGGGTCGCAAGTACTCACCTTAATATTTAAAAAAAAAATATATATATATAATTTTTCATAAAATTAAATATAAAAAAAATTTACCATTAGGTTTATATATAATTTTGAAATACTGCTCCCTATCCTTAAAAAATAGTCAAATCAGATCAGATTCACGTATGTAATCTTTATATACAAATTAATAAAATTACTACTGCATAATTGCCAAAATTGAAAAAAATATCTTTTAGAATCTTAATAAATATAAATTCAAATTTTACTAAATATATAAAATAAATTATTAATAAAAGCTAATAATATAAAATACTAAAAAAGCAAATATATATTAGACAACTTGCTCTAAGATTTTTCTTTTAAAACTAAACCAGAAAGATATTCAGAGAACAAAAAACAAAAAAAAACTCTACCAAAAGTTGTTCTAAGTTTAAGAACAAAATAAATAAATAGAAAATATTCTTTTTAAGATATATATCAATAAAGGACAACATGCTACTGGTTTTTTCTACCTTTTAACAAAAAGATAGACGTCTTATTGGTTTAAAAAATTTTAATTGTTTAAAAACAAGGTCGAACTTGAAAATCGGTGACCAACGTTTTCACATAATCTATTCCATTATCATTGTCAGGTGTGAAAATAAAAACGTGCAAAATCAGAAAATTTATAAGGTCTATTAAATTTCCAAATACTCCTTTATTTATTTAAATGTGAACAAATTGATCGCATGAAAATTGTGCAATTATTATTTAAAAGCTGAAGTCTGTAAATCTCATGATAATTAACTTACAAACTTTACGAGCTATTCAAATCCTTTATTTGCTTGGATTGATCTCTCCCAAAAAAATATGTCGGTCAGTGCTGCACGAAGCAACTAATTTATTAAAAAATTATACAATGATGAGAATTAGTATTTGATGAATAGTCAAGCAATAAATAACATACTATATCTTACCAATTGGCTCTTTAGGATGGAAATCTACTTCATTGACAGAGCCTTTGTGACCAGGTAGTTTGTATAGAATCCTACAGGAAGTTACATCCCAAATTACAACAGTCCGGTCACTACTTCCAGTAGCAATTTGTGATCCATCTGGTGACCATGCAGGTTTAATGAGGTTCTTTTCAAATCCATGAGGTGCCCCTTTTGATATAAGCTTAGATTAAGGATATGCCAATGAGACAAAAGAATCCATGAAATATTTATACAATATTACCTTCAAATATCTTGAGTAACCGGTTTGCAGGTGCAAAAGGTTTTACATCCCAAATTCGTACTTAAAAATGATTTATGTATAGATAATGAATGTAAATTGAACATATATATATGGTTTAAAAATAATTCATACCAGTGTCGTCCATGCCATTTGACAGAAGGTACGATCCATCAGGGCTCAACTTTATACCAGAAATGGTATCTTGATGCCCTTTGAGAATATAAACGATACTTTTTTTACGCAAATCCCAAGTCTTCATACATTAAGTTATATCAATTAAGTTCATTCATGAAAAATAATTAATTTCTATTTAATCAAGAAATATAAAATGAAAGAACTTACAGCAATATCATTATCTAAGCTGCCAGAAAATACCAAATCACCTGCCTCACTAAAACATGTCGCAGTTATTTGATATTGATGACTAAATGTATCTACTGCATCTTTTTGACGAAGGTCCCATATCTAAATTATCATCAATAGTAAAAAATTTTGAATGAAATAAAGAATTTATACCAATCCTAGATATTCTCACCTTAATGGTTCCGTCATCACTACCACTAACTATAATTTCATTGCCTCTGCGTGCTGCAGACACACTGTTAACATAAGATGTGTGCCCCTTAAACTTCTTTATCCTTGTACCAGTTGTAACATCCCACACACTGACAGTTTTGTCTGTCGCGCATGAATATATCTTACTAAGGATTTAGAACTGGTGTAATCAATAAAGATATATGGAAAATCAATATAAAGCAGTAATAAAGTTACCTAGAGTCACGAGACCATTGTAATTCCATAATAGCACCATTGTGACCTTTTAACAGGCCATAATTAAGGCAATCACCATAAGTGTTCCACAGTACTAGAAGAATGAAAAATTGGTAAAAAAAACTGGACCACTGGTATTGATAATGAAAAAGAAGATAATTGACATACATATGTTTCTATCGAAAGATCCTGAAGCAATGTGCTGTCCCGTTGGGTCAAACCTTATAGTAAAAATTTCCCCCTAAAAGGTCAAAAAATGTTAACTCATTATCTATACTGACGAAAATTTATTAATCTTTTAAGTAAAATAACAACCTCACACCTGATGTCCACTTAATAACATTATGGGCGCTTGAAGCCCAGAGGTACGTTTGACCTATAAGGAAAAGTATAATTTAGAAATACAAAACAAGCTGTGATTAGGCGGATTACACTTAACGAACCGTTTGTGTTAAAGCACCATTTCCAGAACTTGCTGTTGAGGTGATCAACACATTATTTGATTGCTCTGGCTTTTGTTTCTTAACAAGTTGACCAGATCTTTGTGCTAAAGAAGGCGATTCTTTTCTCTTATCAGCCATCACTCATAAGATTCACAGTTCAAGAAAAAGTTCTATTTATTAATTTTTAAAGAACCGATAACTGGGTTTCGGGTCGGTACTACCTAACGCTTTACTTAATCGTCTATATCATGTGAATGATATCGATATAGTCTACACATAAAATTTTAGATCCGCTGTTCCTTTACGCCCACCGAATTTTTTAAATCTTTTTCCTGCCAAAAAGCAATATAACTGTAATAATAGTTTTATAAAAAATGGGAACACAAGTAATTATATCTCATAAACCAGAATACTTTCACAGACAATGCAGTTATTGCAATTCTCAACTTGAGTTTCCAATACCTAAACAATTAACGCTGCCCTCTCAATTATCCGTCAAATGTCATTCTTGTCAAAGTATAAATAGCTATGAAATAGATCAGGATGCAACTAAATTTATAAATGGAACAAACTCAAACAAAACCAGTGGCCCTAAAAGAAATTCAAAACGTCAGTTTGGAACAGGTATGAAGTATTTTACTGAACGACGTCGTTACTCTCGGCGATTTTTTTCGTTAACTAATTTGGTATTTTGCTGGGCAATGTCACTGCTATTTATTATTTTTACTTGAATATATTTTCACTGTTTATAATATGCTATTACTGCCTATTAGAACAAGAGCCCCTAGAGACTGAGCTTTATGAAATACTTGGAGTATCTCCGACTGCGTCCAGCAGTGAAATTAAGAAACAATATCATAAACTTGCGCTACAGTTTCATCCGGATAAAAATAAATCACCTGATGCAGAACAGCAGGTTTACATTTTTATTACTACTATTTTTTGCTTTCTGTTCGAGAATAACATAGAATTTTTCATTGTTTAGTTTAAAAAAATATCTGATGCGTATCAAATATTGTCAAACCCTGACTTGAGAAGAAAATATAATGAATTTGGTGGAAAAAATAATGTTGAGCCCGAAGGTGGATTCGGTAAGTAATTGAGTAATCAAGTAATCTAATAAATTTTTATGAACTATTATAACTTACAATCTATTATGTTTATACTCCTTGTTTAAATAGTGAATCCGGAAGATTTCTTTAGGCAACAATTTGGCGGAGAACGTTTTGTCGACATAATTGGCGAAATATCCATTGGAAGAGATATGAAAGAAGTCTTACAAAAAGCTGATGAAATGGCCAATGAGGATCTCACAGAAGAAGAAAAAATTCGTCGAGAAGCAAATAGAGCAGCTCATGACGATGAACGCGATAAAATTCGGCAACAACGCATAGACAAATTAGTCACTAACCTAATACACAGGTTATCCATGTACGTAGAAGGAGTCGACTACAATCAATCAGCTGCTGCCTCAGACTTCAAAACTATTATTGAGTATGAGGCAGAGGAGCTCAAGGCTGAGTCTTACGGGGTTGAACTATTGCATGCAATTGGTTTTACTTATTCGTTAAAAGCCAAGCAGTACCTTGGATCCGAACAGATTTTCGGATTACCACGATTTGGACATATTCTCCGAGAAAAGGGTCATGTATTTTCTGAAACCATCTCGACGTTACGATCTGCTATAGATTTACAACAATCCTTCAAGGAGTTACAGAAGGCTGAGCAAGAGGGTGTGAACGCGCAAGAGAAAAGTAAATTGGAGGAAGCGACGGCGACAAAAGTATAATTATTGCCTTTTTTAAACCCGATTTTTTTTTACTATCTTTGCCTGCTGTTGATAATTGCTTTATTTTGATTAAAGGGATTAACGGCACTATGGAAGGGCTCTAAACTTGAAGTAGAAAGTGTTTTGAGAGAAGTATGTGATAGAGTACTGTCGGATCCTAATGTATCGAAAACGATTCTTAAAAAACGTGCTGAAGGGCTAAAGATTATCGGTGCTGTATATGAAAACGTCAAAGGGGACGGAGCTGTCTAGGGCATCCTTATATCAAGAAAATCCTGGGGCAGTAGATCAGCCCCAGAGCCTATTCTCCGTCTAGGATTTTTTTTCATGATAATTTTAATTGAGGTTTTTTGTTTTAATTAATATTTTTTAACAAATTTAATATTAAAGAGTAAATTTATTTGTCATCAGCTGTGATGGCAGTCGACAAATTAGACCCAAGATCATGTGTACTGTCAAAAGCACGGAAATTAGAAAGTCACCATTACTTTTAACAAAAAAAATTCCGGACTTTTACTATTTACTATCCTCTAGTAAACTTGACGCGTCCTTTTTTATGTTACGTTACACGATATGCTACTATCACCGCTGGTAGCAAGCACTTTTTACATATTCAATGCTTAAAGTTTTAATTACAATGTTTTTTTTTATTGTTTGGAGCCCCGATCCGCGATAATATTCTTTTGAAATTAAAGAATATGTTCTATGAGTAAACTTTCATTCACATTTTGTTGTAGTGCTAACCACGACACCTTAGCTATTACTATAACACGAATCTCCCACAGTTTTGGAAAGCCTGTGTGCTGGACATAAGGATTGCCGTATTATTATTACTAGACGCAAGCACGTGCAATATAAACCCCGTGGGTTGAAGTTAAACATAAAGAATTAAATTCAAAACAAATTCAAATTCATATTTATTTGGATTCAAATTAAATTTAAAAAATGTACCATGCATTTAGTGCATTCTTTTATCTCGAAATTTTACAAGGATAACCCTGTTGTGTAACTAAGGCTAATGAAAAAATTCGTAATTATACTAAGTCAAAAAAATTTTTTTTGCAGTTTTTTAATAGTGTTCTAAATGATCTAATTTTTGCAAAAATAAAATTTTTACAAAAAAATTTTTTTTGGCCTATTACCATTTTTGCTGTGGGACTTCTTATATGTTATTTTTTTTAATGTTAAGGTGAGTATTTGCAACTTAGAATTTTATTGATAGTATGTTTTGGCCAATAGTTGCATTACAATTACAAGAAGCAACTATGAAAAGAATGTACAATTAGTTATTTATACAATTTTAGTCATTAAGAAGGTACATAGATTATTTTTATATAGTTTTATATAGTATTTTAAAATTTTTATATAAAATTGAAATATACTATTTATAAATTTTTTTTAAATTATAATTAATTATTATAAAATAATTTATTTATTATAGTAAAATTTTAAATTATTGAGAATGGTGATTCTAGTATAGTGGTTAGGTTGTTATCTTTTAAGTGGCAGGTTTAAGGTTCAAATTTCATTGTAAATGATTTGAAAATTAACTTGTATTACAGAAAACTGTTTCCTGTTGATTAGTTGGATTTAGATATCTGTAATTTTAGATACAACTAATTAGGTTCTATTTATTATTAGAAGTTTAAGGCATCTATATAAAGTATAATGTTATACATATATATAAAAATGTTAATAATCAATGTTACATAAGATTTCAATGCAAACTTATGATAAGACTACTAAATAAAGACTTGCAAATTACCTATTTTTGAGACTTGGTTCAGTTCACATTTAAGGTTAAAATTTTTTTGCTATCTTAGTTTGGCTTATATATAAGTAAATTTTTTTTTTAGTCTGGTTCAGTTTGGTCTAATTTGCAAAATTTCTTATATATATAATATTGCAAAATTTTAAGTACAGTTTATAATTATAAAATTTTGCTTCAGGTCTGACCTAATTCATAAAAATTTGCAAATCAGACTGCAAGACCTAATGCAAGCTTTTATTGCTGAATATAAAAAAACAAGAAACTGAGAAAACAAAATTTTATTTAAAAATTTCTAAGTAAAGAGGTAGTACAAACCTTTGACAGTACTATTAAACTGATAAAAGTTTAGAAAACCTTAATAAGAAATAGGCAGATATGTAACCAGATAACAATCAGGCTATTAGAACTATTAAAAAAAAAAATACCAAAAGATATACTGTATTGAATTATTTGGATTAAAAATTTAGAAAGTTTGTTAGATTTTAAGTTAGACAATAAAGAGATAAAAAAAAATTAAAAAAATAGGTACTAGGATTTGAGTAAACTTTATAAGAATAGAAATAATATAACATAGCAGTTAAACAGATAACTTATATAGCTATAAGTATTAGATAATTATAATGTATTATATAAAACTAGATCAGTATATGTAAGACATAAAAGCTTCAGTAAGTCTTTTGTTAAGAATAAAGTAGTTCTAAGATATCAATAAGCATCAATAACTTGGATAAATGTAGTCTTAAAATGTTCTTGTGATATAAGATAGATTGCATATACAGAGAGTTTAAATAGGCAAAAGACCTCTAGCTGGCTTGTAAGTATAGCATTTAATATAGAACTTATATAATAATATATAAATAACTACTTAAATTAGATATCAAAAATGTATATATGACTAGTTGTAACCTTTTATATAAAGAAGTCTCTGGTGATACTCATGTTTTATAAACTTGAATAAAACAGTTGCAACTTAAAAATAAAGAATTTTAATATAAAAAAAAAATTTAAATTATTATTATATTTAAAAAATATATACTTATATATATTACAAAGTTTTTTAGATAATACAAAAGTACTAAATTTAATTAGTTAATTTACATAACTCTATAAATTAATTTAATTAATAAATTTTTATATTTAATTTTTATAAAGTTATATCTTATAGAGTTTTTAATCAAATTTAATAATTTTATTATTAATAAAATTAGAAAGATCTGCTTTACAAATTTTTTTTATAAATTAATATTTTTTTTGTTTTTAACTCTTTATTAGTTTTAACAGAATCTTTTATTAAGAAAATTGCATATATGGGGGTAAGTCAGTAGAAAAGAGACAAATTTTTTCTAAGTAAAAGTTTTTTTAACTTTAAGCTTAAATATCTTAACAACTATTTTATTAAATTTAATAAATTTTTTTATTTTAGTTCTATATAATTTCAAGATTAAAATAAAAAAATTTTTAGCAAATTTGATTAAATAGTTGTTGAGTTATTTAAATTTAAAAATTTTTAAAATTTTACTAAAAATAATATATTCTTTTTCTACTAACTTACCCCTATATACTTATATAAATATTAGC